CAGTAAAAGCAGTGATATTTCAATAAAAAGTATATTAAAAAAGAAATAACACACTATTCCCTTTCTTTAACACAAAAAACTTCACCAACTTCATGTGCAATTTCTTTAAATTGTTCAATAAAATACAGATTGAAGTGTATAAAACTTAACTGAGTTAAACATTTGGAACAGTTTAACACTGCTGCTGCATTTTTAGCTTCTTGTTAAAAACCTAAGCCTCTCACTGAGCTCGTTCATCATCAGCAGGACTGAACGATGATTGGCTGCTGCCGCAACAGCCTGGTACCACCATCTTCTATACAACAAGATCACCTCTCTGGTGAAAGTTTGTTTCTATTTTTTTCCTCAAGGATTTTTTTTTATCTGATTAAAAAACCCAGTTTTATTTTAAATGAACTCATTGGTGGGCAAACTGAATTGTAAAGCCCCATCATAGAACTTATATTTTAAAGGCTCACCACCACATGATCGATACATTTGTCGTGTTATATTTTTCAAATGTTTTTCTCATGAATTTTTAAAATAAACTCATTGGCAACCCTGTGAGTTTATAAAAAAAACATATTAGAAATGACAAGAAAGATGATTCAGTTACACAAAACGTGCATAGATTTTAATATACATTATAACACAATATTTAACATTTAGCACTGATTTTTATATTTAAAATCCTATACCCTAATGCCAACTTGTAATTTAAAAAAATATACACATTTTCAACAGTTTTCCAGGCTTTCTGAAGGTTTTCAAAGTTAGTTTTTGGATATTTGCTGCTTTTTTTTTTCAATGAACTTGACTGTTTTAGAATTTTTTTTGTTTGTACAGCCTCAAAATACTAACACATGAATAATCCAAAACATACAAATAAAATCTGCAAAACTAGCTTTATGAACAGTAATTCATCCAGAAACATTGGATTAAATGGAATTATGAATCTATATTATTTGTTTTACTGGATACTTCTGTTGTCCTAAATCTTTAGAATAATCACTTTTAAAAAATAACATTATTGTTTTACTTCATTAGTGGGGAAAAATAACCTGTTTGACAAGCAGGATATTAAAAACAATAATACGAGCTTTATGAACTGAATGTGCTGTTGAAAGTGCAGGAGGCCAGCGTGTAATAGCTTTCCCCAATCCTGCTCCTCCTGCAGCTCCAGCAGTGTGTATCAAGACTGCAGTTCTCCCAGTCGTCCACTGTGTGGCGCAGCATGGTCATTAAACAGGAGGCTAGAGTTTGTGACCTGGAAAACAAATTAAAGTTTTAGAAAGGTCAAAAGTCAAGCGGTAAAAATCAGATAATGCCTTTCCTATTTAAACACATATTTACCATATCTAATATTGAAATCTCAGCTCGGCTTGATCTTAGTTTTGATCTAATTTTCTATAATGTGCAGGTGGTGCTGCTTTTGAGGGACTGTATGGTCTCTATAGAATGACTTATTCAGATTCGTGTTGTAGAGATATAGTGAAGTCCTGAATGAATGTGTGTGAGTTGTTAAATGAGGGTACAGATTGTGTTGTAAAGCACTTTTAAGTGTCCTAGTTGGATAGAAAGGTGCTACAGTCTCAAAAAGAAGTGAACATGACATTACCTGCACAATGCTTCACAAATGAGTTTGTGTGCTTCGGATCATAACCAGTTCCTTTCTTTCTCCACACTTTGGCCTTTCCATCACTTTGGTAGAGATTAACTGGTCTCATTAGTCCATAAACCAAAATTACACCAGCCTAATGAGACTAAAGGCTGGTTTATACTTCTAGTTGCACATCTTGTTCCCCCTGCTGAGTGACAAAATTTGCACAACGTCCGTCTACCCCCAGTCAGAACTCTGGGATGCGGACCTGCGGCTCGGAGCATGTGATTGGTTAGAACTTCATAGGTGTGTTTGTTCATGAAGAACACTGAAGCGCTGAGGAGCAGGACTCAGATCAGTTCTGCCTTCTCTGTGTTTTTTTTTTTTTGTTTGTTTAAAATAATTTATTTTTGTCTGAAGCATGTTGTTAAAAGAGCTAGAAGAGCAGCTGGTTTGATCCTATTGAATGATTTTCATGTCTTTTGTTTTACCGTTAGCATAAAAAGAAGGCTTTTTTCCTTTGCGGTCTCTTCACCCAAAAAAAAAACACTGATCATTGAGTGATAAAAAACACAATATCCAGCCATCATTATTGTTGTTTATGTACAGGTGCTGGTCATAAAATTAGAATATCATGAAAAAGTAGATTTATTTCAGTAATTCCATTTAAAAAGTGAAACTTGTATATTATATTCATACATTACATACAAACTCATATATTTCAAATGTTTATTTCGTTTAATTTTGATGATTACAAATGACAACAAATGAAAATCTCAAATTCAGCATATCAGAAAATTAGAATCTTGTGAAAAGGTTCAAAATGGATGGCACCTGGTACCACACTCTGATCAGCTAATTAACTCAAACCACCTGCAAAGGCCTTTAAATGGTCTTTCAGTCTAGTTCTATAGGCTACACAATCATGGGTTAGACTGCTGACTTGACAGTTGTCCAAAAGACGACCATCGACACCTTGCACAAGGAGGGCAAGACACAAAAGGTCATCGCTAAAGAGGCTGGCTGTTCACAGAGCTCTGTGTCCAAGCACATTAATAGAGAGGCGAAGGGAAGGAAAAGATGTGGTTGAAAAAAATGTAAAAGCAAGAGAGATAACCGCACCCTGGAGAGGATTGTGAAACAAAACCCATTCAAAAATGTGGGGGAGATTCACAAAGAGTGGACTGCAGCTGGAGTGAGTGCTTCAAGAACCACCACACACAGACGTATGAAAGACATGGGTTTCTGCTGTCACATTCCTTGTGTCAAGCCACTCTTGAACCACAGACAGCGTCAGAAGCGTCTTGCCTGGGCTACAGAGAAACAGGACTGGACTGCTGGTGAGTGGTCCAAAGTCATGTTCTCTGATGAAAGTAAATTTTGCATTTCCTTTGGAAATCAAGGTCCCAGAGTCTGGAGGAAAAGACGAGAGGCACTTCATCATTGTTGCTTGAAGTCCAGTGTAAAGTTTCCACAGTCAGTGATGGTTTGGGGTGCCATGTCATCTGCTGGTGTTGGTCCATTGTGTTTTCTGAGGTCCAGGGTCAACGCAGCCACATACCAGGAAGTTTTAGAGCACTTCATGCTTCCTGCTGCTGACCAACTTTTTGGAGATGCAGATTTCATTTTCCAACAGGACTTGGCACCTGCACACAGTGCCAAAGCTACCAGTACCTGGTTGAAGGACCATGGTATCCCTGTTCTTAATTGGCCAGCAAACTCTCCTGACCTTAACCCCATAGAAAATCTATGGGGTATTGTGAAGAAGAAGATGCAATACACCAGACCCAACAATGCAGAAGAGCTAAAAGCCACTATTAGAGCAACCTGGGCTATCATAACACCTGAGCAGTGCCACAGACTGATCGACTCCATGCCACGCCGCATTGCTGCAGTAATACAGGCCAAAGGAGCCCCAACTAAATACTGAGTGCTGTACATGCTCATACTTTTCATGTTCATACTTTTCAGTTGGCCAGCATTTCTATAAATCCTTTGTTTTTATTGGTCTTCAGTAATATTCTAATTTTCTGATATGCTGAATTTGAGATTTTCATTTGTTGTCATTTGTAATCATCAAAATTAAACGAAATAAACATTTGAAATACATGAGTTTGTATGTAATGTATGAATATAATATACAAGTTTCACTTTTTAAATGGAATTACTGACATAAATCTACTTTTTCATGATATTCTAATTTTATGACCAGCACCTGTATGAGCTGTGGGAGGGCAGAAGGAGTAATTATGATAATTTATGGCCAGCCACGTTGTCAGCCCATTTATACCCAGTGAGGAAAAAGATGTCCTAAATGACCCAATCACCAACCCGCTGTCTCACATTGTATTGAAGTATAACCCAAGCTTAACTCCA